GTCGCCACCGCCGGATGCGCCTCGAAATCCTGGCCTGGTCAGGACGCACCCCAGGAGAGGTCCGGGGAGTAGCGGCAACGGTACTTTTGGTGCCCCCATGAACGGTGCACGCGCGCGGCGCAGAAGTACACGCCAACGTCATCCCGCTCCCCGGACCCCCGACGTCGCGTTTTTTTTTCTCGACGTGAACACCCTGTGGAGGTCGGGACCCCTGTCCCCGGGACCAGCTTTCCATCCCCCTTCCGGGCCCGGGGAGGGTTCCCGTGGGCCGGAAAGGAGGGAAGCGCCGTCGTGCTTTCATGACCCGAGGGGTCTAGGCACACGGCGTCAGAAGTCAGCGCCGACGTCATCCCGCATACGAGCCCGCCGTAGGCCGAGGGGCTCCCGAGCGCCTCTGTCGGCGCGCCAGGAGCTTCGGGGAGAACGCCGGCGGCATGCCAGAGCAGCGCACGACGCTGCTCATCCGGAACCTGCAGCGGCCGCTCAGAAGCCAGCCTCGCCTTGTCGGGCCCCCCCCAACCAGGGAGGTGACCACACCGAATACCCAGATCTCGCGGCTCATGAGTAAATCACGACGGCTGATTTGTTTAAGCCACCTCCGTCTACCCAAGAATGATGACCTATTGTTGATATCTTTTCCCGGTAAGACACGTGTTTCTTCAATTGTCGGGAGCGGAAAAGAGGGGGGTGATGACTAGGGGGGGTGGATATCATGGCGGGGGCCATGATATCTCCCCAGATTTCATGGCGCCCCTTCTTATTTCATTACGTCCCTGGCCCCCCCGCTGGGCCGCGCACATGCCGCCGGTCATGATTTGCACCCCCCCCTCTTGGACACCCCCCTCTCTGCCGCTCCCGAAATTGAAATGCCCCCCTCCCGGGGCTCGCATCCAGTTCTTCGCTTGCGCGTGAGACTGGGTCCCTGGCCCGCGGTTTATAATAGCAGCAGCTCCCGCCTGGTACATCCTTACAATGTATTGAGAAGTTGATGTTCGCCAGAGACTTCCTCGGAGTTTGCCCAAGAATCGCGCTCTCGCGTGGGACTTGCTCGCAATGTATTCAAGCGCCGCGCCTCGACATTCTGGAGTCACGCTCTGGCCCTTGACCTCCTGACGATGTACTTGGGAACCGCGCTATCGCCAGATACGTCCTCGCGATGCATGCAGGACCTGCGCTTCAGCGCCCGGCCCGCCCGACCCGCTGGTTAGGGCCAGCTCGCCCGTCCCGCCCGTTTGTGGTCCGCCCGCCCGACCCGCCTGTCTGGTTTTGCCACTTGTTTCCTATTCTTAACTTCCCTCCTACTAGTCTCTCTGTTGCTCTATCCTTCTCAAGTTATGGTTGGTCCTGTCTCCCTCCCCTTCAGTTCCTGGGGCTGCGCCAACTATTTCGTTACACGTGGCAGGCAAAAGAGATGGATTGGGGGTACTTTCGAACACGAAGAAGGCAGTCTTCTATACCTTTGACTGGCGCACGAGTAGATACGAGCGAACGTTATTATATTAATGGAGGTCTTAGTCCTGAAGAATAATTGTTGTTGATCCCCCCAACCGGTGCACATTGTATGTCTCAATTGTTGAAGTGCCCCCTTGGGGCTCGCACCGTTATTGTTTATCAGAGAAAGTCTTCGTGCTCAAACTGGGCCCCTGGCCCCCCGGCTACAACAACAACGGCTCCCGCCAGAAATTTCTTCGCAATGTATTGATGAGTCGCGCTCTTGCGCGGGACTTCCTCACAATGAATGCAGGAGTCGCGCTCTCGTGTGGGACTTCTTTCTGCAATTTTTTCAAACGCCGCGCCCTCGACACTCAGGAATCAGGAGGGGAAAAAACGCACAGACACAATTCATCGGCGATTCCCAGAAAATATGGGAGAATATGGGAAGTGGGGGGGCAGACAAGAACCCAGAAAAGATGGGAAAAGAGGGGGGATGTCCTTATTTGTGTATACTTGTTTGTGTGTCTCAGGGCCCCTTCAAGGAATTAACGCTCCTGCCTCCGCGCCCTGCTCCCGCCACCTCGCCCGCACAGCCTCGGCCGAGGTCCTCCGAAAAAGCAAATGGCCTCGACCTGGGGGCCCCACTCCCCTGTTTTTTCCTCCGTGCCTGGCGCCCCACCACGGCCTGGTCGATCCCAGCGCCATCCAACACCATTTGGTCGAGGGGCCCTCCCTCCTCCTCCTCCTCCTGCTCCTCCTCCTCCTCCCCCTCCTCCTCCTCCTCCTCCCTCTCCTCCTCCTCCCTCTCCTCCCCCTCCTCCTCCTCCTCCCTCCTCCTCCTCCTCCTCCTCCTCCTCCTCCTCCTCCTCCTCCTCCGGGACCGGGCGCCAGCGGGGGTCCCAGGAAGGGGGGCCCTCCCCTGCCACCCGGAATGTGGATTCCCCGTGTAAGCCCTCGAGGGCAAAGGGGGAGTTCCAATCGCCGCGGTGGGGCGGCCACCGCCTGGTCGACCCTTGCATCCTTGCCTCTTTGGTCCACCCTGAACCACTTTCGATGACCCGTTCCTCTCGAAAAGCTTCGACATGAACGTCTAAGGGGCTTGCATCCCTGCAGCGCATCCTTACAGTAATTGTTTGACTGGGCCCCTTTCCCTGGAAGGCCCAGGGAAGGCGCAGGTTGGCCCAACGAAGGCCCTTCTCATCGCCCAGGGAAGGTCCGTAGCCAAGGCTCAACTATCAAGTTGTTACAGTACCCCTTTTCCCTGGATGGCCTAGAGAAGGCTTAGGTCGGTCCAACGAAGGCCCTCCTCCCAGGATAGCCCAGAGAAGGTCCGTAGCGATCTTGGCACAAGCCATTCTGGCTCAAGTGGGCAGCTGTGCGCCCAAGTTCAGTGCTACCGCAAAAGTTCATAACCTCCTGAGTGGTCATGATGATGTCTCGGCAGACGTCGGCAGCGATGACCCTGATTCTGGCAGTGGACTTTGTGACGCTCTCCCAGGCAAGGGTTGGTGGCAAAGAGAAGGGCGGCGCTTGCGAGTGTCAGAACTGGGCGGACGTCTACTACAGAAGCCTTGCTTCATGCGGTCGCGCCAACGAGCTGTATTTCCTCAGCAAGTGGGGCTTCTCGGCTGCATATGCTGCGACCGAGCCCATCACTGGCTTGCCCCACAAAGTCTGCGCGGACTTCTTCAAGAACTTCCTGAGCACATCCTGTGTGAACGTGGACCTGCTCGGGGGGTCCAAGCCCACCAACCGCTCTGGTCAGCAGTGGTGCTACGTTAGCAACGACTGCGATAATCTCAATGGCGGCGAGTACGCTTCGAATCAGATAGGTTTCGCCCAGGGTGCCTGGAACAATCTGCAAAGCGCGAGCACTCTGGCCTGGAAGATCTGCGAGCCAACTGCAGACGCCATGCTGAAGCACATGTCAGTCCAAGAGGTCATCGATGCCGCTACCGAGAGCGACGTCAGCTTGTCTCGGATCCTGCGCTTGGCCTACCCCGCCGTCAACATCACTTACGGCGAGGCCGCCGCCTACCTGGAGGCCGTCAACGACGCCTACTCCAACACCTCGACGCTGGAGGAGATGGTGGACTCCGTCGACGCCCCTGCCCCCGTCTGGGGCAGTGCCGCCGCGAGCGTCCACGCCCGCCTGGCCACCGTGGTGAAGTCCGAGCAGGCCACCATACTCGATTCGCCGGGCCACGGCGACAACTTCCACGTGGTTCAGGGCCGCGCGGTGTACGAGGTCAAGAGGGTCCCGAACGGCAACATGGCGTACCTGGGCGGACACTTCGCGGACGAGTTCACAGTCTCTTGCATCCTGGGTTGCGCCCTGGCCGAGCGCCTCGACGCGGTCGACTTGGAGACGCTCTGATGCCGGCCGGCGGGGCACGAGACGGAACGTGTGCACAGCGAGGCGCTCCACCGATGCCTAGAGTGTAGAGGAGGAGGCGGAGGAGGGGACATGTGGAGGAAATGTGGCATGGGGGGAACGTGATCGTAGGCTTGCTGCTTGGGCATCGTTTTTGGATCCTGCGCCCCTTTTTGCCGCGCCGGCCACTGCCGCGCCTCGCCGTTGGGCTCGGCGCGGGCAGGACTTAGTTGGCTGCGCGCAACAAAAATGATATAGCCCAGAGAATGCCTCGGAACGCGGATGTGGGCCCAGGGAAGGCCTCTCTTCCATGCGTAGGCCTAGGTCGGTCCGGGGAATGCCTGGAAGGCTCAGGTTGGCCCAGGGAGGGCCCGACGACGTGGCTGGGCGCGATGTGGCGCCCCCTCCCGCGCGCGGCAGACCAGCAGAAGTGCGCGCCCCGCTCCGGCCCAAGCGCGCGAGCCCGATGGCCGTCTCGACAAGCTTCGACATGAGCGTCCAAGGGGCTTGCACCCTTATCGTGCACCCTCACTATCAAGTTTTTGCAGTACCCCTTTTCCCTGGAAGGCCTAGAGAAGGCTTAGGTCGGCCCAACGAAGGCCCTCCTCCCAGGATAGCCCAGGGAAGGTCCGTAGCGATCTTGGCACAAGCCATTCTGGCTCTAGTGGGCAGCTGTGCGCCCAAATTCAGCGCTACCGCAGAAGTTCATAACCTCCTGAGTGGTCATGATGATGTCTCGGCAGACGTCGGTAGCGATGACCCTGATTCTGGCAGTGGACTTTGTGACGCTCTCCCAGGCAAGGGTTGGTGGCAAAGAGAAGGGCGGCGCTTGCGAGTGTCAGAACTGGGCGGACGTCTACTACAGAAGCCTTGCTTCATGCGGTCGCGCCAACGAGCTGTATTTCCTCAGCAAGTGGGGCTTCTCGGCCGCATATGCTGCGACAGAGCCCATCACTGGCTTGCCCCACAAAGTCTGCGCGGACTTCTTCAAGAACTTCCTGAGCACATCCTGTGTGAACGTGGACCTGCTCGGGGGGTCCAAGCCCACCAACCGCTCTGGTCAGCAGTGGTGCTACGTTAGCAACGACTGCGATAATCTCAATGGCGGCGAGTACGCTTCGAATCAGATAGGTTTCGCCCAGGGTGCCTGGAACAATCTGCAAAGCGCGAGCACTCTGGCCTGGAAGATCTGCGAGCCAACTGCAGACGCCATGCTGAAGCACATGTCAGTCCAAGAGGTCATCGATGCCGCTACCGAGAGCGACGTCAGCTTGTCTCGGATCCTGCGCTTGGCCTACCCCGCCGTCAACATCACTTACGGCGAGGCCGCCGCCTTCCTGGAGGCCGTCAACGACGCCTACTCCAACACCTCGACGCTGGAGGAGATGGTGGACTCCGTCGACGCCCCTGCCCCCGTCTGGGGCAGTGCCGCCGCGAGCGTCCACGCCCGCCTGGCCGCCGTGGTGAAGTCCGAGCAGGCCACCATACTCGATTCGCCGGGCCACGGCGATAACTTCCACGTGGTTCAGGGCCGCGCGGTGTACGAGGTCAAGAGGGTCCCGAACGGCAACATGGCGTACCTGGGCGGACACTTCGCGGACGAGTTCACAGTCTCTTGCATCCTGGGTTGCGCCCTGGCCGAGCGCCTCGACGCGGTCGACTTGGAGACGCTCTGATGCCGGCCGGCGGGGCACGCGACGGAACGTGTGCACAGCGAGGCGCTCCACCGATGCCTAGAGTGTAGAGAAGGAGGCGGAGGAGGGGACATTTGAAGGGAAATGGGGATTGGGGGAACGTGATCGTAGGCTTGCTGCTTGGGCATCGTTTTTGGATCCTGCGCCCCTTTTTGCCGCGCCGGCCACTGCCGCGCCTCGCCGTTGGGCTCGGTGCGGGCAGGACTTAGTTGGCTGCGCGCAACAAAAATGATATAGCCCAGAGAAAGCCTCGGAACGCGGATGTGGGCCCAGGGAAGGCCTATCTTCCATGCGTAGGCCTAGGTCGGTCCGGGGAATGCCTGGAAGGCTCAGGTGGGCCCAGGGAGGGCCCGACGACGTGGCTGGGCGCGATGTGGCGCCCCCTCCCGCGCGCGGCAGGCCAGCAGGAGTGCGCGCCGCTCTGGCCCAAGCGCTCGAGGCCGATGGCCCTCTCGACAAGCTTCGACATGAGCGTCCAAGGGGCTTGCACCCTTATCGTGCACCCTCAGTTTTTAAGTTTTTACTGTACCCCTTCTCCCTGGAAGGCCTGGAGTACCCCTTTTCCATGGAAGGCCTAGAGGAGGCTTAGGTCGGCCCAACGAAGGCCCTCCTCCCAGGATAGCCCAGGGAAGGTCCGTAGCGATCTTGGCTCAAGCCATTCTGGCTCTAGTGGGCAGCTGTGCGCCCAAATTCAGCGCTACCGCAGAAGTTCATAACCTCCTGAGTGGTCATGATGATGTCTCGGCAGACGTCGGTAGCGATGACCCTGATTCTGGCAGTGGACTTTGTGACGCTCTCACGGGCGGGTGGCAAAGAGAAGGGCGGCGCTTGCGAGTGTCAGAACTGGGCGGACGTCTACTACAGAAGTCTTGCTTCATGCGGTCGTGCCAACGAGCTGTATTTCCTCAGCAAGTGGGGCTTCTCGGCTGCATATGCTGCGACCGAGCCCATCACTGGCTTGCCCCACAAAGTCTGCGCGGACTTCTTCAAGAACTTCCTGAGCACATCCTGTGTGAACGTGGACCTGCTCGGGGGGTCCAAGCCCACCAACCGCTCTGGTCAGCAGTGGTGCTACGTTAGCAACGACTGCGATAATCTCAATGGCGGCGAGTACGCTTCGAATCAGATAGGTTTCGCCCAGGGTGCCTGGAACAATCTGCAAAGCGCGAGCACTCTGGCCTGGAAGATCTGCGAGCCAACTGCAGACGCCATGCTGAAGCACATGTCAGTCCAAGAGGTCATCGATGCCGCTACCGAGAGCGACGTCAGCTTGTCTCGGATCCTGCGCTTGGCCTACCCCGCCGTCAACATCACTTACGGCGAGGCCGCCGCCTTCCTGGAGGCCGTCAACGACGCCTACTCCAACACCTCGACGCTGGAGGAGATGGTGGACTCCGTCGACGCCCCTGCCCCCGTCTGGGGCAGTGCCGCCGCGAGCGTCCACGCCCGCCTGGCCGCCGTGGTGAAGTCCGAGCAGGCCACCATACTCGATTCGCCGGGCCACGGCGATAACTTCCACGTGGTTCAGGGCCGCGCGGTGTACGAGGTCAAGAGGGTCCCGAACGGCAACATGGCGTACCTGGGCGGACACTTCGCGGACGAGTTCACAGTCTCTTGCATCCTGGGTTGCGCCCTGGCCGAGCGCCTCGACGCGGTCGACTTGGAGACGCTCTGATGCCGGCCGGCGGGGCACGCGACGGAACGTGTGCACAGCGAGGCGCTCCACCGATGCCTAGAGTGTAGAGAAGGAGGCGGAGGAGGGGACATTTGAAGGGAAATGGGGATTGGGGGAACGTGATCGTAGGCTTGCTGCTTGGGCATCGTTTTTGGATCCTGCGCCCCTTTTTGCCGCGCCGGCCACTGCCGCGCCTCGCCGTTGGGCTCGGTGCGGGCAGGACTTATTTGGCTGCGCGCAACAAACATGATACAACCCAGAGAAAGCCTCGGAACACGCATGTGGGCCCAGCGAAGGCCTCTCTTCCATGCGTAGGCCTAGGTCGGTCCGGGGAATGCCTGGAAGGCTCGGGTGGGCCCCGGGAGGGCCCGACGACGTGGCTGGGCGCGATGTGGCGCCCCCTCCAGCGCGCGGCAGGCCAGCAGAAGTGCGCGCCGCTCTGGCCCGAGCGCTCGAGGCCGATGGCCCTCTCGACAAGCTTCGACATGAGCGTCCAAGGGGCTTGCACCCTTATCGTGCACCCTCAGTTTTAAGTTTTTACTGTACCCCTTCTCCCTGGAAGGCCTGGAGTACCCCTTTTCCCTGGAAGGCCTAGAGAAGGCCTAGGTCGGCCCAACGAAGGCCCTCCTCCCAGGATAGCCCAGGGAAGGTCCGTAGCGATCTTGGCTCAAGCCATTCTGGCTCTAGTGGGCAGCTGTGCGCCCAAATCCAGCGCTACCGCAGAAGTTCATAACCTCCTGTGATGATGTCTCGGCAGACGTCGGTAGCGATGACCCTGATTCTGGCAGTGGACTTTGTGACGCTCTCACGGGCGGGTGGCAAAGAGAAGGGCGGCGCTTGCGAGTGTCAGAACTGGGCGGACGTCTACTACAGAAGTCTTGCTTCATGCGGTCGTGCCAACGAGCTGTATTTCCTCAGCAAGTGGGGCTTCTCGGCTGCATATGCTGCGACCGAGCCCATCACTGGCTTGCCCCACAAAGTCTGCGCGGACTTCTTCAAGAACTTCCTGAGCTGTGTGAACATGCCGGGGGGTGTGTGAACGTGGACCTGCTCGGGGGGTCCAAGCCCACCAACCGCTCTGGTCAGCAGTGGTGCTACGTTAGCAACGACTGCGATAATCTCAATGGCGGCGAGTACGCTTCGAATCAGATAGGTTTCGCCCAGGGTGCCTGGAACAATCTGCAAAGCGCGAGCACTCTGGCCTGGAAGATCTGCGAGCCAACTGCAGACGCCATGCTGAAGCACATGTCAGTCCAAGAGGTCATCGACGCCGCTACCGAGAGCGACGTCAGCTTGTCTCGGATCCTGCGCTTGGCCTACCCCGCCGTCAACATCACTTACGGCGAGGCCGCCGCCTTCCTGGAGGCCGTCAACGACGCCTACTCCAACACCTCGACGCTGGAGGAGATGGTGGACTCCGTCGACGCCCCTGCCCCCGTCTGGGGCAGTGCCGCCGCGAGCGTCCACGCCCGCCTGGCCGCCGTGGTGAAGTCCGAGCAGGCCACCATACTCGATTCGCCGGGCCACGGCGACAACTTCCACGTGGTTCAGGGCCGCGCGGTGTACGAGGTCAAGAGGGTCCCGAACGGCAACATGGCGTACCTGGGCGGGCACTTCGCGGACGAGTTCACAGTCTCTTGCATCCTGGGTTGCGCCCTGGCCGAGCGCCTCGACGCGGTCGACTTGGAGACGCTCTGATGCCGGCCCGCGGGGCACGCGACGGAACGTGTGCACAGCGAGGCGCTCCACCGATGCCTAGAGGAGTAGAGGAGGAGGCGGAGGAGGGGACATTTGGAGGAGATGGAGAAGGGAGGGAACGTGATCGTAGGTTTGCTGCTTGGGCATCGTTTTTGGATCCTGCGCCTCTTTTTGCCGCGCTGGCCATTGCCGCGCCTCGCCGTTTGGGCTCGGCGCGGGCAGGACTTACTTGGCTGCGCGCAACAGAAAAGGGATGGCCCAGGGAAGTCCTCGAAAGGCTCGCGTGGGCCCAGCGAAGGCCTCTCTTCTATGCGTACTCCAGATTTCGTAATAAAGGGAGGGGGATCTCATTTCGGGGGGGGTCTCTTCCAGGCTATCGTGGAGGGCCTGGGGGGGGTCTGGGGACCATGTTTTGGAGGGTTCTCCCACGGGGGGGGTCTAAAACTATTCGTCTGGGAGGGTGGAGACCCCCTCCCTCTTATTACGAAATCTGGAGTAGGCCCAGGTCGGTCCAGGGAGTGCCTGGAAGGCTCAGGTAGGCCCAGGGAGGGCCCGACGACGTGGCTGGGCGCGATGTGGCGCCCCCTCCCGCGCGCGGCAGGCCAGCAGCAGTGCGCGCCCCGCTCCGGCCCGAGCGCGCGAGCCCGACGGCCTCGGCGGCGCGGGCGCCTCTCGCCGGCCGAGGCCCTGCAGCTTCAAGCGGCGCGACCTGCCGGGGTCCATCAACTCGCTGGGCCTCGCCGGGCAGTGCGATCCGCAGGGCCGGCGCCCCCCTCCGACGAGCGCGTGCCGCTACGCTTCCCTCGTGTTCGCCTCGTTGGGCCTCCTGGGAGGCCCGCGTCGCCACCGCTGGATTCGCACCGGAATCCTGGTCAGAACGCACCTGGATAGAGGTCCAGGAAGTGTCCGTATGGGTACACGCCGGTCGTTGGAAGTAGGTACTTTTGAACTCTCAGATCCCAATCTGCTTCAAGCGCCTTCCTACTCCAAGAATCGACACGCTTTTTCTGTGATTTGTTATTCTCTGGGGGGGCCTGGGCCCAATCAACTTCGTCCGCCTTCCTACTTCATCTTCTCACCCACTTCTTCTGGCCGAAGGGGTACCTTTTGGAGACCTTCCGCCAG